CCCCTTAGTTTCACCTACCAGGGCATAAATATTCCCTGTACCATCTAAGGTTTAAGGTTAAGGTCAGCTTTAAAGTTTACACAGCGGACAAATATAAGTTTGCATTGTTCTATGCATCACGCAAAGGAACACCTATACGAAAGCTTGTGTACGCCAATTCAGCGAAGAAATCAGGCAGACGTGGCTGTACGTAACATTCAGGATAACAGCTTGACCAGAACACAGTCAAGCAATTACAGTGACATCCATTTTTAACAACACAGCGGTTCTTCGGTGGTTCCCCGTCCCACAGAATTGAACGATCACTACGGATCAACAGACGACGCGCGCCACCAGGCATGACGCTCCATGTTGGAGCCACGTTCCTCGCGAAACAGTGCTGAGGACCAAACGCGCCGCAGAAACACTCACAAACCGACACCGCGATCGTCGGTCACAGCGCAGTCACACGCTTTCGTCATTGTAATACACCAATCTGCGATCGCCTTCGGATTTAAGACGCGCAAGCCGTTCCTAATCAACCGCTTTCACAAACTTCATTGTCAGGCAGGACCTCAGGCATCGGACGGGCCTCCGCTGAGACGTAGAGCACAGAACAAATCAGATCAGCTTCTTCAGGTGCGCGCTGCTAGCTTTTGGTCAGACACATACACTGGCACTGCAAGCACCAAGATGTTTCCGCGAAACTCACCGTTGAGGCCACAGTTGCTCCCTCCACAATAACCCGGAACTTGTTTCCCTCCTACTCCACGTGTGGTGCCCTACTGCAACCGACATTGCCGCCACTTGAAGTAGGGTCCCGGCAGCTCTTCTTGAAATAGTTAATCGCACTTGAAAATGCAGACTTATCTCTTTATAAATTGTCACGAGGACACTGTTTATGCAGAAATAAATCAATTTCGACCTATACGCTCTTCTTACATTAACATAATTCCGTTTCGCTTCAGGACTTCCTTTTAGCTGGGCGTATGCCCTCAGCAAATCGTAAGCCAAGATGCGGTAGCTGTCGGAGTGCCTTGCAAAACGTACAAAAGAAGGAATGTTGTTCAGATCTCTCTCTCTCTCTCTCTCTCTCTCTCTCTCTCTCTCTCTCTCTCTCTCTCTCTCTCTCTCTCTCTCTCTCTCTCTCTCTCTCTCTCTCTCTCTCTCTCTCTCTCTCTCTCTCTCTCTCTCTCTCTCTCTCTCTCTCTCTCCTCTCTCTCTCTCTCTCTCTCTCTCTCTCTCTCTCTCTCCTCTCTCTCTCTCTCTCTCTCTCTCTCTCTCTCTCTCTCTCTCTCTCTCTCTCTCTCTCTCTCTCTCTCTCTCTCTCTCTCTCTCTCTCTCTCTCTCTCTCTCTCTCTCTCTCTCTCTCTCTCTCTCTCTCTCTCTCTCTCTCTCTCTCTCTCTCTCTCTCTCTCTCTCTCTCTCTCTCTCTCTCTCTCTCTCTCTCTCTCTCTCTCTCTCTCTCTCTCTCTCTCTCTCTCTCTCTCTCTCTCTCTCTCTCTCTCTCTCTCTCTCTCTCTCTCTCTCTCTCTCTCCTCTCTCTCTCTCTCTCTCTCTCTCTCTCTCTCTCTCTCTCTCTCTCTCTCTCTCTCTCTCTCTCTCTCTCTCTCTCTCTCTCTCTCTCTCTCTCTCTCTCTCTCTCTCTCTCTCTCTCTCTCTCTCTCTCCCTCTCCTTTCCTCTCTTTCTGCAATGAAATGTCTCTGATTGATAAAAGAAAGACCCTGGGCTGGTGGTGTTTCAGCATAATGAGTCGAGAACCCTTATCCTGAACATAATCAACCTTCATGTACCAGGAGATACTGTTTAAACGACGCCATCAAGCCAGCATTCCCTACATCGACAAAATTCGACGTTTTATGCTGTGCTCATTCTCACGAGCGATCACGAGTCCATCATGAGTCCATAATGAGTCCAAATATTCAAGTTTCCGCTTTATATTTACCTTGAAGCACGCCATGAAACACGGTCAGGTGTTAAATGTCAGTTGGCGGGACGGATCGCGTCGATCACTGCGGCACGTTCAGCTTTCATTAAGCTTTCGTCGCCAAGTTCTGTCGATGACCCGGATTTCGCAACCGATTGGAGCGGCCAGGTCTCACTCCTCAAACACTGCTAGGACGGTGGGGCCAGGGCTCACTTCACAAACGCTGCTAGGATGGTGGGGCCAGGGCTCACCCCTCAAACACTGCTAGGATGGTCGGGCCAGGGCTCATTTCACAAACGCTGCTAGGATGGTCGGGTCAGGGCTCACTTCACAAACACTAACTAACAGTGCCCCAGGTGGCCAGAAACGGCTCACTGAACGTCCCGAGGGACTAAGTGGGGCCTACTGAGTACCCAGAAGCGATATTTGGCTATTTTCGAAGCTTCTGTTTGGCAAAGAATCTCTCTTGGCGTGTTTCTCAGTTTGTGCGATGATTTTTTATTTGCGTTGCGCGGGCCGGATCACTTTTACAATAAGTTCTTGAGCAGCTTGACATATATTCTTTGAACCCCCACATTTTTTGTTTTGGGGTCCGGGGAGCCGACCCCCGCCCCGACTCCCACAGAATCTCTCGCCATGTATGCAAGGCTTATAACGATTGTGCGCCTAGTGGCTGAGGTCTGCCATGAAACCATGGAGTTAATGGAATGGAAACAATATGTCGTATAGGGCTAAGTTTGATCTGATTTGGTTAAGTCCAATCTGCTCTCATTTTACGTACGCTTGGTGTGGCATCCAGGCATCAGGTTGTCAGATACACTTGGCCAAGTCTAATCCACAGGCATGGGCCTGCGCTACGTCGATTCCACTATTGCTATTTCTGAATCCTTTGAATCGGCGAGTCCGTACCCGATCCCAAGTCCTTTGTGAAGGCATGGGTTCGGCTGAGAAATCCCGCTGTCCACAAACCGCTTGACAGTCTGACCAAATTTGAACTGACGCCACGTAATTAGAGACAGCCATGAACATCTGCAACTAAAGGAGGGAGGGACGAAAGGAAGCACAGTTCGGTAGCTCGGTAAGCCAGAGAGAAACTGAAGCTTTTTGACATCGGCCAGTTTTGAAAGGAAACTCACCAATTTTCGAAATGGGGGGCGTCACCATCGTCCGGTAATCGGAGAGGGGGCAATAAGAACCTTTGAGAACTGAGAAGGTTTAAGGTGCATTCTTTACCTCAACACCACAGGCATTATGTCAAATACTCGCGATTATTGAGAAGAACGTGTACCGGCCCGTCTCGTGTTGCTGCCCCTACGCACCGGATCTCTTCTTCAGAACAATTCAAACAATTTGCTTGAAAACTCAACCACCGCAACCAGTACAACCACTCAATTGACGAAAAGACACTACTAAGGATGCATTGGGTTTGACAGGGGGAGCCAGATGTTCCTGTCCAGTGGAGCGGGCAACTCGTTGATTACCTGTAGAACACCTGTCCTGCAGCAAGGCACTAGGTCATGCCGCGACCTAATGTGACGGCCGGGGAGCGGCCACTGTCTGCGCCGCATACCGCACCGCCGCCAACTGTCGCCAATGACGCGAGCCAACCGGTGTCGAGTTGGTTAATGAACTTGTTGCAAGATAGTCGATCAGGCTGTTCTCCACGTACTGGTAGCACAGGCAGCACAGGTGGTCGTATTGTGAGATGGAGGGTGGGCTCTGTATATCTTAGATGGAAGCTGCGCACTCGATCTTTTAGGACAGAACAAACGATCAGCGGCAATGCAGAAGCGAACAGAGGAATAGTCGTGTTAGAACGGCTGTGGCACAAGTACGTGTACTGACAGAGCGATGCATTTGTCCATGTGCACAGGACAGTTGGAGATGACGTTGCTCATGACATCGTGATTCATTAGGCTGGGAAGGTAGCGGACAACTACCAGCGTCTGCAACAAGAACCGCCGCGGTCGCCTCCCGGTGATTGACATCGGCCCACGCACCCTCAGCGCGTCACCACTCGTCTGGCGGTGCCCCCCCCCCCCCCCTCCCACCTGGCCGGCACGATGCCCCCGCCACCCGCCTGACGGCTCGCCGCCCACTTTGGCGGTGCCCCCTGCACCTGGTCGGCATGATGCCAGCGCCGCCACGCGGCCGGCTCACACACTGCTGCGCTCGCACAGGCAGCGGCGCCAGCGCATTACTTCAGGTTCAGCAGGTTTTGAACGCTGGAGCATTTGAGCGCTGGCCCAACTTTACAAAGAACGCTTAAAAGCACAGTACAGCGCAGCTTAAAACGTCAGTGTTCACGCTTTAACCAACGGTCGCCTGATAGCGCCCTTTAACCAGTGCCCCCTGGCATATTAGAGGTCGATAATTGTCAGCATAACACTGAGCTCGAAGTGAGACAGCCGCCACGCAGGCTGCGTGGATACGGGAGACTGCAGTCATGCTTTCGTGGTGTCACACCCTGTGGCACGTTGCCTGGAAGGAGGCTGGTGTGGAGGTCGTATGCTTTTCGAATGTCCTGGCTCTTAAACATAACAGATAGAGGCCCCCATCCTTACTCTGGATCAGGCTGTGATCCACTGACGCTGAGACGGTATTGTTAAAATGACAGCGCACCCATTACCTGGACGCGCTAAGCCAGACATTTACAAGTGACTGAGCAAAGTTCACAACCGTTGTATTGCCAGACGATACACACATACGAGAAACAGTCCATAGATCTCCCAGGTTGAACCCCGATCCGGTGTACGGCTCTTCAGTACCCACTGTATGCAGACTGGGGAGGAACTGGTGGGGATAACAGGCAATTCAAAACAATACGCGCTTTACCGATCGTGGTGTTATCACATATGGGAGCAAAACACCGTTATTCCACCTAGCAGACCGACCCATTCACTACAAAGAACCAAAACAACCAGGCGGAGCCACATCACAACAGAACGCCGCGCCGCATCGACCGGCCGTGACTCTACTCCGCCGCACTAACAGCCGGCCGGTCCTGGGCCCCACCAGCGCTGGAGCCCGCCCCCAAGCCGGCCACCGAACACGCGACCGCCGCACTTTCATGGGCCCGCGGCGCGCGCCCGATCAGCCGACTTGCAGGATCTCGCGGCGCGCGCTGGTCTGCAGGAGATCGGGCGCCGACAGCAGCGCCGCCAGCGTCTCCATGAAGGCGGCCGCATCCTGCTCGGACACGGCCCGGGCGTCGTACGACAGCGTACAGGTCAGCAGGGTCTCCGTGCTGCCGTCCACACCTGCAACGGCGGCAGCGGCAGGTGACGGGCGCGGCTGTGGCTCAGTACAGCTGTCAGATCAGTCCATCTCACCTCACATGCGCCACTTTCGAGTACAAATACGGCCAATCTACTGCACAACGTGCCAGAGGTCAAGACTGCAACACCCAATCTCTGACACTTCCTCCGATGAGGTAATGAGGTGATCGGATCATGCCAGGTGGGTAAGCTCTGACGGACAACCACGTCATAACACAACGCTTAAAAACCCGTTGACTATAAAACATTCATACGAGGTATAAAACAAACTCATGCGTTACACAAAACGTCACAAGTATTCGGTTTTTTCCGTGCTGAAGTGTCGGTCGAGCCACAGAGGTCCGGCGGCGGTTCGGGGGTATCGCGCCGTCAAGAAGCGGGGCCCATACCCGGCTCTGGCCGACCGCCGCCCACCGCCAGGATGCCGCACTGCGGCGGGTTGATGATGGCGCTGAACTCGTCCACACCGAACATGCCTAGGTTGGATATCCTGCGAACGGCACAACGCATGTGAAGAGCGCCGGCAGATGGAGGCCAGCGCGGCGTGCGTAGAACATCTGCAAACAGACAAGGAGACGGGGGAATCCCCTTCGGGTGTTTTTCAACAAAAGAAACTCTTTAACCCGATAGCGAAATAGCGTCAGTACAAATGCACACCAATTTAGACATCTAGCCTCGAGGAGCACGGACAGGGATCCACGCCACCGATGCGCTAATTCTGCCGCCGTTTCGTAGCAATCACAGAAACAATGTTTTGCGATGATACTAGCATACAGATGTAAACCATGCTTGCCGAGAGTATACATACTTACTTTTCGTTTACTGAAACAAGCCTTGCCCCTTGTTTCCTTGAACGCTTCAAACATCGCCGACATACAAGTTTCATCCGAGCGCGGCCAGTCCTACATGGGCAGTCCCCCCCCCCCCCTCCCCGGAGGACGGGATGTGCAAGGCCCGCCAAATTTGTGGTATTGTTTAATGACCACAGCAGCCAAGCAGATGTACCTTAAAAAAGTCCCAATTTTTTGAAGGATGGATTTCTGGGATCAAAGCTCACGCTAAGCAGTCCTTGTATGAGCCCTGATCCCTATCCGATCGTGAAATTATGGGTCAACAACAAGGCTAAATAGCGAGCACCTAAAGCGACTCGAACCCACCTCAACACAGGGGGGTGGGCCGGAAGGCAAACGCTCTAAACCCACCTCGACACCAAAGGGTGGGTCAAAAGGCAGGCGCTCTAAACCCACCTCGAAAAGGGAGGGTGGACGGGAAGCCAAACGCTCTAAACCCGCCTCGACGCAGGAGCGTGGGTCGGAAGGCAAACGCTCTAAACCCACCTCGACACGGAAGGGTGGGTCGGAAGGCAGACGCTCTAAACCCACCTCGACCCGGGAGGGTGGGTTGAAAGGCAGGTGCCCACTGAGCTATCCAGTGAGCTATCTGGACGGAATATTCGACTTTTTGTGAAACATATCCGGAGTCTCGCTCGTGTTGAACATCAATGATGCCGTTTTTTAATCTTCACGTTTATTAGCCCCTCATCTCTCCCGCCTCACTGCGATCCTTCACAAAGTTCTTCCCGGCTGTTATCTTATGTCTAGATTAACGGGACCCTGGGAAGCCAATGTTGGTCTGTTACGCAGTTAGCACCTTAAAGTGCTGATAATTCAGCACGAAACTAGCAAATGCAGGTCACTGAATTAGCACACGCAGGTCACTGAATTAGCAGATGAAGGATTTTGTAGACACCACCACCAGCTATAAGCTTTAAACAGCTGATAAACCGTGTTTTCATTTGCGTTTTGTAATGCAGAAAAATTGCAAACAATCGCATTCTCAAGTTACGATATTTCTCGCCGTCTGTTCGTCAGGATATATGCACCGAATTCAGCAGGTGCCTACAGGCTACAGTGCAGGGCGCACGCGGCAGTGCAGGGTGCCGAGTCCCCTCCCCGCCTCCCGCCGCTCCGCCTCCGGCCGACTCACGTGAACGTGCCGCCCTGGAACTCGTGCGGGCGCAGCTTGCCGTCGCGTGCGCGGCCGGCCAGCTCCTGCACGAGGCGTCCGATCTCCGCCACCGAGCGGCCGGCCGCGCCGCGCACGATCGGCGTGATGAGGCCGGCGTCCGTGGCCACTGCCACGGCCACGTCCACATCGGCCGCCCGCTCCAGCTGCCCGGCGACAAGGCGGTGACGGTCAGAGGTGGCCGGCGGGTCACTGGCACCTACGCGTCTGGGAAACCAGAGGTGGGGGTTCGATTCCCCGCGGTGTCCGCTCTCCCTGCCAGGGCGAGAGGCAGGCGACGCCGTATAGCCTCAGCAGCTGAGTGCGTCGTTAAGCCCCATGATACACACGTCACTGGTACTGGTGTCACTGGACTGGCGGGACGCTGGAGGGCGGGGCATCAGCTGACGGATGGGACGGTGCGGTGGGCCGGTAACACGGTCAACGGGAACTGACGACAGATGGTCGCTTTGTCATGACGACCGAACGGATCACACTTCTTACGACTGAATGGCTTCAATTGCCGGTTGTGGCTACCGCGGTGTGACGTAGGCGGGGTCAACTTGAAACTAATGGGCATTAAATGCGCAATCAACTACAAAAACACCGTGCCGGCCAAATGACACACGCAGATAATGACCACCGGGCCAATGAACTGCACGGCACAGGCCACTGAACTGGCAGAAGCAATTCACTCGCAGATGAAGGATTTTGCAGACACACTGCCACCAGCTGTCTGCAGGTGCCCGCGTGAGACAGGCCCCATGTCCTTCCTTTCTGAACCTTCTTCACAGCGAGCCGTGGGCCGAGGATTCTTTTCAGCGCGCTAGCATGGACGCTGCCGGGCGGCCGCAGACTAACCAAGCACACCCAGCCCGCGTCCCTGCCGTGATCCCACGCACCGGGCCGTTGCATCATCAGCCGGCCTGCTGGCTACCTCAAGGCCACTAGCCACGACGACAGAGATGTTCGTGCATCCATAGGTCGCCCAACAGGGTGCATTGCGCCCCTCCAGACTTTTCGGAAACACAACAGACGGCCGCAGCACAAGAGCTCCACCATTACGAAAGCCGAGCCCGTTCGGGACGATGAAGCTCTGCGTGAGTAACTGAGGGAGTACCTGTTACGGCGCTGGCCTCGCCAATTTGCCACACACGGTTAAATAAACCGTAACCCCGTTCCTTGCAAGGTGCCACGAAGATCGAGCGGAGGTCAACTGGTCGAAGCCGGGCACGACCGCAAGGCGTCACTGGACAGCCATACACGGGCCACCAGGTTACTCACAGGGACATTTGTGAACCCCTGGACGCTGGATCAACATTCGCTTAACTGCCCATCAGGAAAGAGGCCAACAATCCCCATTGGCCTCCGCCATCCGAGCCAGCCAGCGACATGTTCCACCGACCTGTTCGCCGTTCCAGACACAGTTAACTTCGGGATGCAGCCGGAGAGCAAGCGCCACCGTCTTGATGATGTAGTCGTTAAGGGAGGCCTGGACGCCCTCAGTTTTCAGCTGCTTCCGCAAGCTGAGCAGGCGATCAATGCGAGCCTCGCACTGCATGTAGGCGTGCGGTATTTCCGTCTGCGAACAACGGACGACTGAAAACGGGTACGGAAACACAAATGATACCACGACAAATATCGTCACACGGCGTTGGATCCAGACGAGGCCACCATGGCTAATTACATGTTTCAGCAACGACCCAAGTACATATTTGATGGGGTAGCCACAATGTCTTCTTATTGTAACGTGCATGGCAGAAGCAGCTGTGCGAAGCCCTGAGCCCTGACCATGATGCACTGACTGCAGTCGACAGGAGGCCAAACCCGTCCACAACGCTGCCCGGTAGCGACATAACCATGGCGTTAGTCACTACCTTGGACTGCGTGAGACGCTTGGCGATGGTCTTGCGCATGCTGGTCAAGGGCAGGTCAACATAGCCCTCGGCTGAGGCCTCCTGCTGCGGTGCCGGCGTCGGCGGGGCGGCGGGGCTCGTGGTGGAGGCCGGCGGCTGGCTGGCCCCATCTGGGCCGGGTACTGCCCGCGTGACAACGAGTCAGCGCCCGCCTCTCCGGCTGTCATCCATGCAGTACGGTCTGCGACGGTGAATATCATCCCAGCCGCACCGAAATTCTCCACCGGTGCACAGGGTAGCAGTCGGTAACGAGCGGCGGCGGGAGCCGGATGGTAATGTTGCAAGACAGCAAGCATTTCTCTTTGTTTGGCAACCGGACAGTGTTTTACATGGATGGCTTTCGGTGCCGCGTGTTTGTGAAGCACGGCTTATGAAGAAAACCCTCATCCATCATCCCGCATTTTGACGCCTGAACGTGTTCTCAGAACATTGTAAAGGCAGCATTACTGTCAAGCTTCATTGCAAACTGCGTGGTAACGAACCGGTTTTTTACAGTTACGGTGTCGGCAGGTATTTGCCCTTAACACACGATTGCGAAGGCGCCACTCCGTTCCCACCGAAGTATGTTGGAAGTACAGTCTCTGTACGGCGAATTTTTCACACTAACTCATACGGTTCAAGTGTTAAAGGTCCGCTCTTCGGAGAGCTGTAAACCGAGTCCCATCAAGACCATTTTGATGAGCCCGGCACCAACAGACAAGATTGTTTAATTATCTTCCGCTAGTCATTGACCATGCTTTGTTTATAAAATCCAAACTCTCACGGCGCACTGGGTCAGCTTTCATACACAGCACGCCATGAATGGTCCGACATTCGGGTACTTGTTTCCCACTCCCCTGTCGAGCGTGCCTGAATTGTTTGATAGCAGGCAGCAGTCAATGCACGTTATCAGTGCAATGCAGTTGACAATTCCTTCAGTCTATCAAACAAAAACATGGACATAACGTTCATTTAAACTTCAAATACATGCACGATTGTAGCATCCGTGCCCCGCTACCTTCAGCTACAAGCTGCCAGTTGTTCACTGGTAAATTAACGTTTTAGCCCTTAATTAAAAAAGAAGAACAAACTGGGATGATCCAGTAGATTTGTCCCAATATATCGCCCATTGTGCACTTCGTTTTTCTTTGCTTTCATAACCATATTGTACAAGTATGTCCATTTATAAATAATATATATATATATATATATATATATATATATATATATATATATATAGCCAGTAGATTGGCAACACTATATTAAATTACTAACAGACGTGTGTAACCGAAAGAGGGGCATCAGCTGTACATGGTATAGACCGGCACGCAAGCCGGACAGACTTAGGTAACCCGGGCGAAATACGGGCAACCAAACCTGATGGTCCTCTTTTTGTGAAAGTCACGTGTTCATCAGCCTATATCAACACTTAATTTACTCGCACCGTAGATGTCATTGTTAACACTATTCGCCGGTTGCTTATACATGTGGGTTTAGATTGATGTGATGCACAATGCCGATCTCCGCCGAGCACACTCTTGGAATAGCCAATTCCGATCTAGCGGTATTATGTATCTATCAGTATGCCAATCTGGTCCTGAAAATCACGCGCAAATATACACTGAGCCGCGTCCACGCGCACATCTACACAGGGCTCCTTCATCGCAGCCGAAAGAGATCGCTCTCCATCGGGTCCAGCAGCAGTCAGCCAACTCACCTGCCTGGGGCGCCTGCGGACTCAACCGGTTGGCGGTGATGTAGGCGAGCACGTCGCCCTTGACGATGTTGCCGTGGGGACCAGAAGGGGTCACCTTGGCGGCGTCCACGTTGTAGAGTTCGAGCAGCGTGCGCACGGCCGGACCTACCGTCCTGTGAGGAGAGAAAGCCATCGGAAGATCACGCCTTCGAGCAACTTACGGCCACAGTCAGATGCCTGACATCAGAGCACGCTAATAAAATGGAAGCACTGCATCAAACGATCAAACATACACAACAATGTATCATTCACGACAAAATGACGACATGGCATGGTAGTGGTATGACAGTAGGCTTCACTGTGAAGTGGAGTGTGCATCATAGACACTGTGAAAATAGAAAAAAATAGTGGAGTAATACAAAATAAAACTACAAGGGTTAATATGTGCACATCCTTCCTGTGCATGATGTGACTGTGCCTGCCTATATTGATGCAATGTCAGCTAGATTTTAGCCTATGTAGTGGCATGAATATGCAGGAATTTGGTTGGCATGAAGCCCGGTTATTACGAAGGAACAGCTCCAGCGTGACGCATTCCAGAGTATTCTTTAGTTGCTTCGGGTGTAGGTTGTGGCGATGTAGAGACAGGTTTAGTGGAGTCATCCGATTCTGGAAAATAAGCAGAGTAAGCCAGTCAAGTGACAAATGTGACAGCTGTAACTAAGCATTCAGCCACACATAAAATATATCAAACCACAGAATACTACACAGAAAGCTCTGGTAACAAATCCACACAATGATATCCAATGGGAAAGCTAACACATAATTCACGGATGTGAATGCTTAAATGTGCTTTTAAAAGGACACCTTATTAACAGATTCAATAATTTGGTTTCATTGTTGTGGTGTGAGCAGTAGATATGTGTGCAAAGCTACCATAATTTAATGCCTGATTGAAGTGTTCTTTAAGAAATACACTAGGCCTTACCCAAGCTTTCTGATGGCACCTCCACAGACTTCCAGTCCTCTCCTGGCTGGACCATTAGGGCAATCAATTTCCCAACAGAAATGTCTTTGCTGTCTTCTCCCATCTAAAACAAGCAGTTTATAGTCAATGCAGCTTACTGATTTTGCCTGCATCATGAAAAAATGGCCAAAATATTAACTGTTTTATCACAAACATAAAGGACACATTTATGTACATGACATGAAGAACCCTCAGTGGGATAAAGCCATCAATGCATCCAACATTGAAACTTGTAACTAAAATCAGAATTGGTTGGTATTGTACCTTTTCAGGTAAGCATAATTAATGATCCTGAATGAACAGATAATAGTAAGTGATACTTTATTTGAACACATACAACTCACCAAAAATGAGGCAAACACATGTACTTAGAATGACCACCAAAATAATCACTGGCAAGTGGCAGCCATACTCTGAAAATGTCCAGATCCACAACAAGACATACCAAAATCTTGGCCAAAATGCCCTCCTCTTCTACTTCAAATGAGACAACAGCTTTGTCTGTTTGTATATCACAAATGATGTCGCCTGGCTCCACTGTTTCTCCTTCTTGCTTCAACCATTTTACAATAGTTCCCTCAGACATGGTGGGGGACAGAGATGGCATTTTGATGGGAATGCCAGACACTGAAAAAAGGATCCATGAGCCATATGTAAATTGTTAGTCTAAAAGTTACAAAGATGTTCTGGCTAGAGCTGTGTATTTGGAGTGTTTAAATCTCCTGTAAGTAAGGCAATTGCAACACAGCCAAGACAACTAGCACATTTGTTAACATATACATACTATGCTGCTGACATACCTATACCAAAGCTGTGTGCACAAACATGCTACATAATGTTGTTAGGAAACATGTTGGACATAGTCTATGTCCCTCATAACCTTAATATGAAATGCAATGTTTAATCTATGAATAAAACATTGCGCAACACAAAACATTCTTGCAGATTATGAAGGAGATAGTTCTGTAAGGAATTTCATGTCTATCCAGCCTGAATTTTCTTACTCGGAACACATACAAACAAGCTTGATTACATCTGCCTCTAGAAGCATATACAAATCAGTCTAGTCAATCAAGCTGTGCATGAGTTTGAGTTGTGTGCTTAAAACAAGTTGATGTGCCACATCCAGCTCTCTTGGACATTTAAGAGCACTGCATGTTAAATGAGGTTTAAGGAACACAAACATTTTCCTCTGCAATGAAACATTGCACAAAACCATCCACAAGTGTTTTTTTTTAAATACACAGCGTTTTCTACCATAACATCACTCACCATTGCGGAAGAGTAATACATGGGGGAAAATAGTCTGCTGCATTGATGGGAGTTTGTGGGAAACTTGCCCATTGCATAATTTTGTGAATATCCTAGGCGTTCTTAGCCTGCCAGCACGAGCCAAGCACGCCGCCATCCTTGGGATGCTCTCGCTAGTCCGCGGTTCTTCTCACTAACAATTATGTATTTTATCCCAGGCTTGCTTTCGTGAAATATTACAATGTCCGACAGGTTGGCTGCACGTAACCCCTATCCCCAGCGTTGAGCATGGAAAGCTAAAGTATTTTTCGCTTTGTGGAAACAGGCCCGTCCACATCGATGTTCTTTACGCCCGTATCTTCTCGGTCATATTTGTCTTCATATAGGTATACGTTTATGGCGCAGCACATCTGAAAAGGGGATATGGCCACTAAAAGCAAATATGTCAGGTGTTTTGCGTGTACGCAGGCTGTTTATGTCAACATTTAAATTTAAAAAATTGTATGTGGCAGCCTTCTTCGCACAGTAAGCACCGTATTTGATCTTAGAACAACTTCAATTGAGCAAAAGACAACCATATGGTGAAACGTTGAATGCTAGTATGTATTTGGCATGCAAACCTGAAGGACGATAAATGTGACGGAAGCTTTTAGCAGTGAATTAGAGTGCTGGGGCTAGTTACTTTAATTACATTACCTTGAAACCCTCCGCGCAATCACTCATTCAAGGAAACGTTTTGGGAGGTTGGTTGCGGGGCTAGATTGCTATATTGTAACTGATCTGTTGAGCGTATTGGCCGTTATTGACATTATCGCGTGATATTCTTTGGGTGAGTCAGTTAAGCAATCGATCCGAGCTGGGGTGCGTGAATTGTCACTATTGGAGTGTCATATCGCATGTGGTTTTGTATGCGTTCGGTTCAAGGAGTGGGGGCGAAACCTTGCCTTCTCCTTCTGCCATACTTGGTTTCTGTATTGTAGGACATTGTTCCATCTGTATGAACTGTTAAAGATGGATTTCAGTTTGGCAATTTAGGGCAATTTGGCATGGCATTTGCTTGACATACACCAGGTTGAGGTTTGTGCATCAGTGTATTAAGGCATCCTGTGCAATGGGTAATTTTTTTGCACACTTGGATCCCTATGGGTGAGCACAGCTTCCTAGCTGACTGGAAGGCATGTTTTCAAACTGAAATTGTTAATATGATTTGTAAAATATGACACCATGGTGCAGACAATAAATAAACAACAATGTACTGAACATTATATGAAGCAAAATGTGTTATCAGGTTATCCTCAAATGACACATGTAGGACCCCAAACAGTCAATGATGTTTGATGTGCTACCATTAAAGCTTAACTGGCCCTTGGCATAACTTAAGCCAAGACCGGGATTGTGATTGAGGTCCATCATGTGCTGGTTCTGTTGAAAAAAGAGCCCTTGCCATGAAGAAGGGGCTGCCATAAGCAGTGACGTTATGCTGAAATGAAATAAGTTTGTTGGTCAGATGCACGAGCTCTCGGCTTTAAAACATCTTATGAAAAGTGTCAGTTTGTTGGTAGAATTATCAACATATGGTTTTTTAACAGGACAGTTTAAGGGTAGGGAGGTTTGGTTCATTTGTATGTGGTTCATTTGGTTTTTGGTTTATTTGTGTGTTGCTTCTCTCTGCATTATAATATCAACTCACTCAATTTTGTAGCATTGGTAATTCTTCTCTCCTAGCCATATGACCTGTCACCAGCACCAGAGGTGATGAAGATACATGGTCCAAGGCCCCATTTACCATCTCTGTAGGTGTGCACAGCTATCACTGTTCTTACAATGCAGGTGTTTAAATGGTTGTGGGGAAGGGCTGGCAGGCTTCTATTTGGACTGATTTGATACCTGCCCTCAGATACCACACCGGAACTGGACGCCGAAAACTGGGGTGAGGCAGGGGCCGGAGTCCTGCTGCTGTTCGACCATCATGTCTTACATGCTGCAGCATCTACACAATGGCTGGCAAGTGGACCAGGCCATCCTGTCGGAGGAGGACCGGACAGTAGTGATCCGTTTCGGCCACGACTGGGACCCGCAGTGTATGAAGATGGATGAAACTCTGTACAATATAGCTGAGAAGGTGAAAAATTTCGCCGTCATCTACCTAGTGGACATTACAAAAGTCCCGGACTTTAACAAGATGTATGAGTTGTACGACCCATGTACGGTCATGTTCTTTTTCCGCAACAAACATATCATGATTGATTTGGGGACGGGAAACAACAACAAAATCAACTGGGCAATGGAAGACAAGCAGGAAATGATCGACATAGTGGAAACCGTATACCGGGGTGCGCGCAAGGGCCGTGGTCTTGTGGTGTCACCAAAGGATTACTCCACCAAGTACCGATACTGAGACACTTAAGATCAGGACAATGAGGATTTTTTGTGCGGCTGTTACTTGTCTGTGTGGTGGACGTTCGTGACCATTGGTGTACATCAGGGCCGTAAACATTGGCTGCTCCTCGTGCTTATATTGTTTGGACTTGTCCTGCCTTGTCTGTGCTGGACATAACCACCATTGTCTGCGACGTTTACTTAGGTCCTTCCACCATAACGTGAAATATATGTAAATGCATCAAATGCACTTGCTGTATCAAACCTTACAATTTTGATCTGAACGTGGATCTAAGATGCAGGCATGCGGGACACGCTTTTGTAGATTCACAAACCAAAAATGAGTGCACTTGAACCATCGGGGGATTGTGTATCGACGCAGACAATTGGCAACGCTATGCGCAACGCCCTGATATCTTCGCATAACCAGGGCCATTCACACCCGCGGCAAAGGACTGGGTGGACTAGTGTGATGCCAAAGTCCCAGGCGCTAGCGAGGCGATGGAACAGCCACCGCTATGCCGAGTGCGCCGAATGTGCGTATGCGTGTTCGGCACAAATCAGCCTATCTTCCGCCAGTCTGTCGCATTTAGTAAGCCTTGAGTGTGCATGTGGCTTGTGTGTTACGTCCACCTGTGGCGACGTCCTGGGCGTCGTCGCTCGGACGCTCCAGAATTTCGTCTCCAGGAAGGGGACGTGAGTTTTATGTGGGTCGTTACCGTGCAGCAAGATAGGGTTCAGACCTTGTGTATCTACGATGTGTTTTTCATAGCGTGGGACAAAATTCCGATTTTGATATGAACGTTTTTGGTACCAGCGGCGGCAGAACGATAGAAATAGTCTCTGCATTGATATGTGTATAACTACAGCTAACCTCGCCCGTCGCCTAACCATGCCCTGCCGGGACGGTCTGCTGTTTCGTCCGAGCAGATTTCAGAGTTTTACGCAAATTGTAGAGTTTTTTTAAAAATAGTTATGCACATGATGCCAAAATCAGTCAAGACTCCCGGCGCAAAGCGACATTTTCTGCCAAAGAACAAAACAACCGGTCTGAATGGTTACCTGTGGTCAGATGAGCTGATGAGGTGCGTCATGCTGTGTGGACACTTAAACGCATGATTGAATCTTCTGCATGCACTCACAGAAAATTCAGCTCGTGATGGTTGAAATTCAGGAGAACTGCAAATACAATGCAAACGCAATGCATTCAGTTACTAACATGGTAAGTCACTGGAGGTTCAATTTATTTCATGGAAATGGCCTTGCGTGCGTAGGCTATTCACAGTCAGTTTTCAAAAAGTGATGTTTGTGAATCGGTGGGCAAGTGCTGCATCAGTGGATCCCTGGCTGTTAAGCCCTTGCAAAAGATGCGATTCCGGAGGCATTGATCAAACCGTCATTGAGCTGAATGGCCAAATATGTAAGGCTCCATTTACCCCAGATATTGACATCATTCGCGTGGTCCAAATTGGTAAGTAACGTTTGTTATCTCCTCGATGGTCCCGTCCCGTGTAAATCGCTTTGCTGGCACGACAGTCTTTAGTTCTACCACACTTGTATATTCAAAAATCGTACATGCACAAGTTAATAAAAAATGAGCTAGTTGCAATCATATATCTCTGAACACATGCTGCAATTTCCATGTAGTATTAGCTGCTTGCAACACCAAAATTAAATCGGTACGGCACTGATGAGCAAACATCAAATCTTTACGAATTTTAACGCGCATCTGATATACACACGACTGCATAAAATTGTTTCAAAGTATATACACATTTTATACTGTACACATTTTCCCAGTGCGGAGCATTCGTGGTAGCAGCATTGCATAGAATTATCAATGTGGTATAAACCCGCGACAGAAAAATTATTTAGCAGTAAGCGATGCAAACCAGAACAATGCAGACCACTTCACGCAAGCCAGTGTCATGGTCGGACACACAAAAAAAACTGGCGAGGAGCTATGGTGCTCAAAGCGCCACAGCTTGCTCTCGTGGTGATCGCACGCATTGCAAGCTGACGCATCGGGACGGAAGTGCAGAATCAGCGATTTCTTCGGGCGGCGCCCTGCTTCTAGAATGTCACATCAACCAGCGCTAGCCCAGCACAGCAGGACCGCCAGCTTATTGGAGCTGCGTCACGTCCTGGCTCGCGCCAGCTCAGCGCCGTAGCTCCGGTGCTGAGCTGGCGGGCAGCTCCGGTGCTGAGCTGGCGGGCATCTCCGGCTCTGAGCTGGCGGGCAGCTCCGGGCTCTCTTCAACCTTGGGCTCCTCCTTCGGCACTTCTCTGAAGAAGGGGTGCTGCTTGGAGCCGCGGACGTACCGGCGCGTGAACCTGAGCGTGCGAGTGACGCTGGTGTAGACGCTGGGCACGCCCTGCTCGGCGCAGCCAACGCTCCAGGCCGCCACGCCGGCCATCACGTACGTGCCGTCCGCAGAAGGGCACGCCAGCGCACCGCCAGCGTCGCCCTGTTGGCGAGATGACACAGAACGCAACGGGTGATATGTATGAAATGACATGCCCCTTCAGTCCGGGACCCAGGTCACGCATCACGTGACAGTCAGCCGGAGGAGGAAGGGAAGCGGACAAGAGTGCACTGGGCCTTGCCCTCAGCACCGTCGGTCGGTGGCGCCATGGTCAAAATGGGCCGGAGCGATCAGCACTCTAATCTGATTCACTAGATCACAGATATCCTAAGATAACCTTTGAAAGAATTGGCAAGTAACTATGATTAATACTTGTTGCCTGGCTTGCACTGACCATGTCAGGTGTGACCATGACGCTTCCGCGGACTGTCAATGTTCGCCGGAGCAAAACCGCGAGGTTAGCGGGAATCTCACTGGACGCCGGACTAGACTAGTTCCCGGATGGGCGACATTGACTTAGGTGTCCTGGTCCGGCTGCACCGTTCTCCCACACAGGAGGGTGGGGCTGCAAGCGCGGCCCGCCGTCGATGGAGCGCGTGTTTGAGGACGCACCCGGCACGCATCGGCGTCCTTCTCGCCGCCGGCACAAAGCATGCTCTCGCCCAGTCGGAAGAAGTGCCCCAGGTGCGTTTCCCACAGGCTGCTCTCACACGCGGGCGTTTCCACTGTCGGGAGCTCCAACTTCTCCATGCGCTCCTGGTAACGACCTGAGACACGAGCCATGGTGTTACTGTTGCTTCCTGCGAGCCTGTGGTCAGGAGATGTGCCAGGTGCCAATTAGTGGAATGTGACTATATCCCCGAGTCAGCATTTTTGCTCCGTACGTAACCTCGTTCTGCCGCTACTGCGCTTTCACTTGTCGGCTTAGCGATCCAATGGCCCAGCAATTTTTTACACCGCCATCGCCTCTGCAGGAGAGCGGAAAGTGACGACATTGCGCAGCGTGACTTCAAGTTTACCGGATAAACAATTGCCGACAGTTTGAAACTCAGCAGATGTGTGTCATGATAGATGACTCAGAATCATTGCGGCATAAATGTTCGACGAATCACATAGCAGGAGTCGCCGCTGTTATGTAAGATAGGAGCTGTCCGAGTGAAATGCACAGACAGTCATTAACAGGGACGTGGTTGAAAGAGCGATTTGATGACAAACAGCAAAACTGGCCTGTGCCAACTGGTCATCAAAATCACATATTCGGTTAAACAATCAGCAATAATGCTTCAAGAGCCATTCTTGTTGGATTTGGATGCTGGCCGCGTTACAAAGCTTCCCGGGTATGCAACTGTTTAAGAATGCCATTTTTTGCGAGCAGCTGGCTGCATTGCCACTTTGTCTCGGAGTTTGCGGGCAGATATGGGGTATGATAAGACGTATGTGGTCGTGGCGTTCCTTCAGATAATAAACAGTGGCATGGCAGCTGGTTGGCGAGCTTGGTCATTAGTTCCACCAAAGCCTCCACACAAGCCGACGTTTTCTGGGCACACTTTCATGTAAGATGCCGATCTTCGCAACCCAGAAGTCCTGATTGAACAGCTTGCGTTTCTTACATGTTGTAGACGCAGAGAGTGCATATCGAGTGCGTCATGAACCTCGTAAGTACATATCAGGGTATAGGGACCATTTTACGATTTGAGAGATTCTGATCCTCTTGGGTACGACTAACTGGCCTGTATTCTTGCACGGTCAAGGCAATTTTGCATGAGACTACAGCTGAAAACAAGGTCGTTATGTTTCCTGTTTTCTACACTTACGACTTTCGGAAGCAACAGCAAAAAAAAGACTGACTTGTACACATTGAGACAGCTGTGTAAGCAAAAGGGTTGTCTCCTTTTGCCAAAATCAAAGTACAAAACACACAAATGTTAGGAACCTTGAAACTGTCGTCACCCGCGTGGGAGGTTTGTTCCTCCTTCTCGTCACCCGAATCCGTCCCACCGAAGATAACTCAGCTCGCCACATCATCCGAGCAAGGGTGACGTCACATCGCGAGCCGGTAGTCCACAACGACTTGAAACGAGTGGCAGTGTTTTAGCGTAAATCCTCACCAATAAAGGCCGGCTTGGCCCATCCGGACACCACACATCTGCCAGTGAACTTCTGGTTGTACTTGGGGAGACAGATGGGCTGGATGTGGGGGGTGAACTTCAGATGCCTTTCCAGTTCGATGACGGCTATGTCGTTGAAAAGAGCGCCTCTTTCTGCGAAGAAAGAATGTGTCATCACGTGCGAGTCCGTGGGCCGCGCGCGTATTGAATTTTGAAACCATTTTAAGCTTGAGTGACCTCGTCCTGTTTCGGATATCATGTTTTCTGGAGCCCAACATTTTTGCATTAGCTATTCGCATGCATGATACAACATTTAGCCGTCGCGTCGCATTATTTCGGCCGCAAGCGAACTGAAATACTTAAATGCTTTGGTGCAAACAGTTTTGAAGTTTATATGTTTACATATACATGTACATTTACATGTACAAATTTGCTGTTTAAGTTGACATGATTTCCCATCAATATGCGATAAACCTACGCCGAAAACCCATCATATTCGGACTTTTAATCACATTGAGCGGACCCAATGATATGGGTATCCAAAGACGCCTCGCTTCTCTCGCGTGTTTCACCATCATCACCTTGCCACGTCGATAATCCACACTCTCCTTATGCTATCGTTTCACCCACTCCGCACAGCGCAAAACCCATTACTGATGATACGTAAGTTTGCAAATTAAATCCGGCACAGGCCATTGCATAATACATCCGTTAAGGCTTTTAAACATAATGAAATGTTTCGTTTTCACTCAAGCTATCGCGTACAACATTTGCTTCCAGATGTTTTGGGCCTCATTTCAAGAAAATAACAACAAATATTGTCGATGAAATACAGATCTAATCACCTGTACATATCTGCACGCATCAATTTAAGCATTTACAAATAAATGAATTATTTGAAACTCGTTTGGTTAAGAATTCCGTCACACACTTTCCTGCAAGAAGAGCTTAACCAAGGCAGAGGCAGGCAAGGCGACTAATAATAAGAAACCGGTGGTTAGATCTCTCTATTGCACAATGTTTGTCCTTTTTCTGCAGAATTTCAGGCACTGCAAGCCGTCGTGCCGGCAGCGCACATCATGTACGCTTTCTGGGAAGGTAGGGGAGGCGCACATGCTGCACAGACTGCAAAATTCAGACGGAAATCGTTGCCCTTGAACGCAAAAAAGCAGCATCTCCGTGGGAAAAGAGCGTAGCGGTCGTGAGTATGTAGCAGTCAGATGGTAGTCCTAAATCGTCACCTTGAATGGCGGCTTCTCAGTGGGACAATGATGTAACCGTCGTGAGGGTGTGACTGAGTTTTACGTCAACGATTCAACTACCAATGTATAACGGGATGAACAAACCCTCATTGTGGCGCTGTATGACCTACAGCTGTCGATGCGCCCCAAAACCCCAAATCGTCATCATCATTATCATAAAACTCTCATCGGTATAAAAACGTTGTTACATGGCAATGCCACATCAGTCCTCATGATCCTCTCCGACAACAGGTAGAAGCACGCCACCCAGCAATGGCAACACCGGCCATCACAGTGCGGAGCGTTGCAGAATGAGCCATTCCTGCACACGAAATACTTACCGGGGTGCGTTTTGACTGAGCGCACATCGATGTCCTGGTGAGCAAGAGGCTCACTCTCTTGGAAGAGAATAAATTCCCCAACTCTTACATACAGCTGAGAAGTATTGTAACTGCAAGGAGAAGAACTGTGTTACACCCCGCTGCTTACTAAAACAATGTTACCACGTGTTGTTCTCAAACATCTGAGCGGGGTTTACGCTAAGATGATCGGGATGTTTTTGTTAGGAAGGCAAGAAGACGGTAGTTCATTTTTCATTACCTTGGTTCACAGAACACCACCCTCCACTTAAGAGGGCTAGGCTACCTGAGATCATCTCCTGGCTGGGTCTAACTTTGATGCCGGATGGCCGCAATCCTGCGGCACAAATTTACAACAGGGACACTGGTGCACTTTGGATAAAACAGACACATTGACAGGGGCAACTTAACGTCCAGCGAACGAAGCGCAGAGCTGTCTTACAATAAACGCAATGCTGACTTCTGAATGGATGCATGAATGAATGGAGGTCAGAAGACAAGTCGTGACGGGCGTGGAATACCACAACAAATCTGGTGTCAAAAATAGCGTAGCGATTTTACAACTGATGAAAGCACGGTTGCAAAAGTCAAACAACAGTTACATCTTTGCTCCAAACATATGGTTCGCATTTGCACACGATAAAGCGACATAATAATCCATTTTACATGCATGCACTGTCGCAAGCTAAATCCTGCAGAATCACACTAAACCGCCCAGTTCTGCAAAATTCTTGGAAGATGCCAAATCTGATCTGAGCCTTGCTTGACGTCACTGAATTTTCACGAACTATGAGTTACTGTTAGAAACCTACAAAAATACGTGATTTTAGACGGGATTAGAAGGAAGCGGGCAGGATCGGACCAGGCTGAAATCGGGCACCGGACGGAACCGGACGGAGCCACATGGGCCCGGACGAAACCGGATGGAACACAATGAGAAGAAACGGGTCTGGGTAAGACCGGACTACACCGGACTGACAGGAGTGGACTGGAAGCGATTGGAATCGGCGATGAGATACCGAACAAAGTCGCAACTGTGGGACGTCAGACGTTTCGTGTCAATCTCCTGTTTGCTCAGGCTGATGAGATACCGAACAAAGTCGCAACTGTGAGACGTCAGACGTTTCGTGTCAATCTCCTGTCTGCTCAGGCTGGGGCTGAGGTTGCTCAAAGCATTGGCAACGCCCCATAATGATGGCGGACGGCTGTTTGGGGTCTGGCTGTCGCGGTTAACAGCATCCAGCTAACGGAATGAGAGGGTCACAGATAAAACAAAACACGACACAATGAACGCGCGCCGTCTTGGTGCGCACGTGGTGGGCATGACAATCCGCTCTGGGAAGACTTTCCCGGCGCTGAACGCGTAAGCTGCTCCCGTTGCTGCACGCCGTCGAGCCTGTTGTCTGACAGGTGATCAGGTGGGCGGGGGCTTAGCCCAGCAACAGACGTAAGTCTCGGCGGCTTCAGTGATTTACTGGGGTTTGAGGTCGACATAAACGTGCTTGAACCAGAAGACCTTGGCCAACGTGACGGCACGATTAGGATGACCTTCAAAGGCAGACGATAAGTTTGATAACCACATAGGCATCTCAAAGTACGTATTATGAAACACCTGGCAGAGCCGTGTGAAGGAAAGTTTTCGATCGGAAACACGAAACGGTAAGTTTTTGGTACAAAATACCACGTCACGCACTTCATACAGGACAATCTAAGAGCTTGCGCGCAGTACACCCAGGTCTGTCCGCGCCCGGAGCACCGCTCGTTAAGTCATGTCGCGCGAGAGGCGGCAAAGCCCCGGCACCTCCGCAGTCTGCCGGAAGTGGTCAGGCCTGGAGGAGGGACTGATGTGCGGCCGACGGACAGTCGCCTCTGTGCATGGCCCTCACGTTTCCACGCAGTGGTCCGATGTTATGATTTGGCGATTACTGACGATAGTCCCGCCGCAAACGAACTTGTCGGTTTCCTTTTCAAAGATTGTGGCTTGCCACGGAATCTCCCCTGGAAAATGCCGTAAAAAGTCACCACATGCATGTCCGTGCTGAAAAGCTTAAGCACATCGATTCCACGCGTGGTCTTTGCAGCTGTCAGAAGACGAAGTGGCCTTCATACGGACTGTTCTTGGATCATTGTCAGAGAAATGAAAGTAGTGACCATGCTCTCTTCGAAAACGAAAACATGAAAAACGCCTACGCCGCAACAGGTATGCCGTTGTTGTATCACATTGCAACGACTTGGAGCTATCAGATGTGATATGGCTGACAAGTCAGTCAACAAAACAGAGCAAAGTATGTTTGGGCTGAATGTACAGCAGCTATTATGCCACCGGTCACATGACACGTGATGCATGAACTGGTTGCCACGGTGAATAGGCATGCCTTCGAAACATACTGTTTGTACCCAGATCAAGAAACTGAGCAAGCATACACCACCCTTCCCAAACCCCGGACCGCGCAAATGGTGGAGACTCGTCCATGGCCGGGTGCCACCGGTGCTGCGTTGCCAGCTGCCTACACGTCTGAGCGTCTGAGCCCGCCGCCGGCGTCTGAGCCCGCCGCCGACGTCTGAGCCAGCCGCCGGTGTCTGAGCCTGCCACCGGCGTCTGAGCAGCCGCTGGCGTCTGGGCCAGCTGCCGGCGTCTGAGCCTGCCGTCGGTGTCTGAGCCAGCCGCTGGCGTCTGAGCCAGCCGCCGGTGTCTGAGCCAGCTGCCGGCGTTGAGCAGCCGCTGGCGTCTGAGCCAGCCGCCGGTGTCTGAGCCAGCTGCCGGCGTTGAGCAGCCGCTGGCGTCTGAGCCAGCCGCCGGTGTCTGAGCCTGCCGTCGGCGTCTGAGCCTGCCGTCGGTATCTGAGCCTGTCGCCGGCGTCTGAGCCTGCCGCCGGTGTCTGAGCCAGCCACCACCGTCGAAGCTTGGGGCGCAGTGGACGGCCCAGCTGTCCACGGGACGAACGCGGGCAGGGACTCGACTCACCGAACACCGTCTCCCGGGCGTGTCTGGTGTTGTCGCCGGGCATCCTGATGTGGAAGCTGTGCCCGCACGTGGGCAGCTTCAGGCGGCGGGGCCACTCCGGGTCGGGCAACCGGCAGCAGCGCCCCGTGCCGCCCCGCGGCAGCTGGCAGAACTATGCACCGTGACGGTGAGGCGCGCGTCAGCCACAGCAAGTTGGCAGGTGTACAGTCAAGCCCGGCGTGCCGCCGGACGGAGATCCAGCGCAGCGTGTCAAGTCCAGCACACCGGTTGACATCCGGAACAGTATACAGTCAAATCCAGCATACCATAGGACATCCAGAACAGTGGCGTACCTTCAGACACCTGACACAGTGTGTGCACTGAACAGAAGCGCACCGTCGGACACCCTGACCTCGAGCACAGCGTACACCATCAGCATGGCGTGTCGAGGGACGCCACAACATTCGTGCAAATGAGCCTTTGTAAGGCAGTTACTGATGAGGGAGCGGTCTACTGGTGGGAGTGGTTCACTCTACTCGTCTAAGTTCATTCGCGCAAAGGCAAAACGCTTATGAAGATCTGTGGACTGCACATTTATTTGCGAATACAGTCTATGGCTTTCCGAATGTTCTTCACAAGGGGACGCTATGACTCCCTCTTTTTTGGTACAATGAATGCAAAGGCTGTTAGGGACTACCAGCGCCTGCACCGTTAGTCTTTAGAATCGCACGTGTTTGCTCCCCACTCTTGCGATGTTTTTCTTTTCTTTTCTTGGCACCACAACAAGCAATGGGTAATGATGAATCTTTTGAGCCACTTACGTCCGCCATAGCAATCCCATCTCCTTGGCTGACGAATCGGTGAAAAACACACGCCAGAAACATCTGGATTGGCACATCACAACCCAAAAGAGGGTGGCGCTGATCATGCAGCGGAACAGGATAAGATGAGAGGGACGAGTGGAATTAGGCCCGGTTGCAACAGATCCACGGGCACCTGAGCCGGATGGCGCGGCGGGGTAGCGCTCAGACTGTACCGGATCTTATCAGCGCGTGCTGCACACTGCGCAGTAGCGCAGCGGAAATCATGTCAGACGGTGTTAGTCGCCCTCTCGCCCTGAGACCAAGGGATGAAATCTTCGGGCGTGGGAGGGGGGGGGGGGGCGGCTCTTGGAGGTCAGGAGAAGTACCGCGGGGACGCAAACCTTATTTCCGGTCGATAGCACAGATCAGAATATTCTGAGTCCAGAAAGGCTTTGCACCGCTGCTCTCCTTGTAGGTTTTCAGTTACGGATGATTGATATGTTTGTTTTACTGACACGTAGGATACGATGGAGGTGCCCTGTTTCTAGCCCGACATAGCTGGGGAGTTTCTCATTTCCCATTGCGACCATATTCTGTCCATTGTCACCATCATAGCAAAGCGTACCTCCAAAGTCTCTCTTGATCCAAACGTCAAGTGCTGCCAGCGATGTACCATGCCTGCAGGTCCCCCCTACCAACGTACCGTGTCGAATGGTCCTAGCTCTTCGGGTGGCAGCTCTCCCAGCCGGTATTCCGCAGGTAGTCCGAAGATCGCTGTCTCGTCCGTCACGTTCTGGATGAAACCTTTTTCGTCGCACACGCCAGGGCCTACGCATTTTTCGTTGAAGTTGCATAAGATCTCGGTCCTTATTATGGGGGGGATTTTGCAGCAGATGCCCTTTCGTCCGTACTTCATCTTGCAAAACTGGAACAGACAGCAAAATCCCACGTATGAAACGTCTTTCACAACAGCACATGCATGACCGAAGGCCTTAACCACGGTTTTCAACCCGAATTTCACTCCTTTGTTTCATTGGCTCAGTCCTATGTTGGAACAGCAAGCAAGTCTCCTTAGCAGTAACCATCGACACTATTGACTAAACGCCATAAGCGTGGGAACGTCTCAGAAAGTGGAAAGACTGACGCCAATTTTGACGTCGACTCTTTCCATGCATCGCCATGTGGTTAATGTTAAACATTCCGAGGGGCCATGACCCCTCGCCCTCCCCCTCCACTCGCCCTACGCCCATGCTCGAAGCTGGTCACTGAACAACAAGGCAGTCCGCTTCAGCGCGACGTTCCGATCAGCGAGGCAGCACGCGGGCCAGATTTAAAGAAGGCCCCGACAGCTTGCGTCACTCATCGCGGCTTCCCGTGTGATATTCGTGGGCAGGAAGAATGCAGGATCTGCTGATCGCCACTAGGAGAGCAAAACACAAAGGCTTCTTCTTCAAAAACAGCTAATAACTGTTTGTGAGAACATGGGAATATCGCCAAGCAGCGTTGAAAAAGACCATGGCAACGTGAGTTTTTCAGCCCAACTTGGGAAACGGCGCAAAACGACCGCAGACGTTGCGCCCAAAAAGCTACATCTTGATCGCTGCAGGCCGAGCCATCAGTCAGGTTTATGTACCGCTAATGAACTGCACTGCTGAGATTCCCACGAAGTAGGACAGCGAGCGTCAGACCAAGGCCACTTTGCACACCAACCGTGCCCAGAAAGGGTGAGGTGACGTACGTCCTTAAAGCCATCGATGACGGGCACTGGGCTGGGCTTCACGGAGTAGTCAGAGATGAATCCTTTCTCGTCGCAGAAGTTGTTCCGCACACACCGCTGTTCGTCGGGCTGACACTGGACCTCGCGCGGCTCGGGCGGGAGCCGGCAGCACACCCCCTCACGGCCCGCCCGGATCTCGCACGGCCCATGCTGCAACCAGGGCACAGGCTGATGCACGCGCACGTGTCGCAAACCGTGGCACAGACTGATGCACGCGCACGTGCTGCAAACTGTGGCACAGGCTGGCGTCCGTTGCGCGCGCTGCAAACTGCAACACATTGTGATACTCACCACGCGCACTGGAAACACAAAAGCACTATTCATCACCGCGTATACTGCAATAACGCTGTCCCACACCGCACTTACTACAACACACACACTGTCGCAAACCACCGATAATTACATGAAATAAGTTCGAGTTAGGCGCATTCAGCTACATGGCCGGCCGGGCGGATCAGTGCACTATATCAGATCATCGGCAATCAGTGCACCGGCCGGGCAGATGCACCCAACCGGTGTACTGATTGCCGATGATATGATTTGGTGCACTGGGCAGAGCCGGCCGGTGTACGTGCACTTGTGCCCGGGCACAGGTGCACATACACCCGCCGGATAGATGCGCTCGGCCGGTGTACCCTATGCACACGTTAAACACTGAAACTTGTCGGCAGCTTCCGCGAAGGCGTTATCTAAGCCTGATATCCTTATTCCTCAGATTTTCTCGCAAGTTGCTGCGGGTGACAATCCCCTGCTAGAGTATGTTGCATGACCTTATCTTGTTATCTTCTTTTGTCTTCGGAATATGGCCGAAAGGTTCGCAAGAATGGTTTTGCGGTCAGGTTTACTGCAAAGCATAGCTTATTCTGAAAACCTTAACCCTACATTCCGGAAAGACAACGGCAGCGTAACGGATAAATTTCGCTGAAAAATATTATTGTGTCATGCAATTCAACGTCACGGCCGCCCCCTTTGCCAGCCTGACCCCTCATAACTAACAGTCGGTCGGCCATCTTTCACGAGCGATGAAGCCGAGCGCGGTTTTTGGGACGCGAGCGCGCATGGTCTGTCACCACAGTGTTCAGCCGTCCAGCACTCTACTGACCTAGCTGCGGGGAGAACTACACTGTGACAATGTCGAAAAACAGCTTGCAGCTTTTTTGCTGAATCGAAATAGCAAGCACCTGTTCAGTGTTGAGGGTGGCCTCGGCATTGGCCACTGACGTTTTGGAGCTCTCTCGTGTTTTTGGAACGCTCGTTGCAAAACAAAGTGTTATTTTCTGTCGACAGCGAACAAAATTGCAATTGTAAAACACACCTAAAACGTTCAGAATTTAACATGGACTTTGTTTCATCCCGAACAGGATTCTTGCTCCAATGGATGGAAAGCTTTCATCTCATAACATTTGCAGCGTCAAGACCACCATCAAAGCGAGCCATCAAGCAAGACCATCTAACCCAGCGAAACCGCTGCGTGTTGGTGACAAAGTTTGCCGTTATAATTTTAGCTTTGTATCCAAATAAACGAAAGAATTGACGATGATTAACACGCGCTCGGGTGGGTAGGGGAGGGGCAATCCGAACCCACCCCCCACCCCTAAGGTTTTTTTCCTGAGTGAATTCTGAAAGGCGAAGCGTAGCCACTCCGAATTTTTGTATAGCTGTAGACAATTGAAAAGCAGATCATTTGATATCAAAGACTGAAATGTACCTTGCAAGATAGCTGATCAAAATCAAAAAATAAAAAATAAAAAATAATAATACAAAATTAAAAAATAGTAGGTCAAAATCAGGCCATGGATTCAGTGAAGACAGTTTCTTGGGAATCATTCAATCTGATGCAACAGCGGGGTGTTAGACAAGCCATACATTTTTGAGATGGCTCTTAAGCAACAAAACAATTGAATGATTGAATTTCATTGACCTAGGGTGAAGTATAAATGCCAGATCAACGCCAAAACCGACGTGTTTTATTACTCTAGAGCTTATTGTATGGAGCAATTTTGGTGCTCATTTCGAATTCATTAACAATAAGGAGCGGCATTATACATCTGGATGGACTTAATGGGCCTAAAAAGGTCAAAATAAGTAACTTACCTAAAATGACCGAGTTTGACATCTTGTTTATAGGAACGTACTACCTAGCGTAATCTCTGATGCTTATTCAGACGTAAAACTCAAAGCAGTCTTGTATGGTTCTGGTCACCATGACCTTGTAAAGGTCAAACAAGGTCAATGACCTTAAATGAGCACCAGCGGTCTTTTGCTTAAAGCAGGTATTTAGGCTCTTGGGGCACTTTGGACACGAATCTGGCGTTTGAACTTGTTTGACTTAAGGTCACGTGACGAAGGTCACGGCTAGCAGTTCCAAATTGTGGCACAAGCACGTTCACGTATCGGTCAACACACTCTATGAATTTGGTATCCCTAGCTTTCTTAGTTTCTGAGCATTCAGCGTGGTCAAATTGCCCCACCAGAGCGAAGAGTATTCAACTGGCCACCCGGGCGAGTGTGTATTATGCTATTGTGAGACACAATTTGCGAAAATACTTTTGCCGATCTTAAAAAGGTACACCTGAAGATTAGCGTTTCACGTTTATTACTTACAAACATTAAACGGGGCAGAAAGAAGCTAATTTTTCCCTCATTCGAAGTGAGACAACCCTCTTTCTTGGGATCGATTATTGTTCGAAGGCGGCGTTGAGAAAGGTAGTCAGTAAACGTGGATAAACTTGATCAGTAAGCACAATTATGTGGTGCAGCACTGACATTTGGCGGAAAAATCATGTTGAAACACATCTCACGATGTCACACAATTGGAACGTTTATCGATACGTGCAATGGAAGCTGCTCGTCGTCATGATAGCTCTCCAATCATGTGTCCACAATTGAACACAAAGCAGCGGTGTTAACCAGTTTTGGAACTTGATAAAATTATTGGTGGGCGCCGAAATAATGCTTGCAAGGTAGAAGGAGGCCTAAGGATGAAGGGGCCATGGCCTCAGGAGATTTCTGGGGCCTCTCCAATATTTGTTTCTTATTCAACAATGGGGTTATAGTATTACCTGGGGGGGGGGATCAACATGGGAGACATGGCCCCTCATCGAGATACGAACCTTCACCTTCAGTTCTAGCTACACACAGGTGTCCTAGCTAAGTCGAGCACCACAAATGTGTACATTTTGCAGCAGTAAGCTACAGGTAGGCTGAAGAAAATACAACTTTTATGGTGAATACTAATTTTTCTTCGCCATTTCCAGATAGAGGAATAAAGTGAATCTAGAAAGGTCGAATTGGGGCGCACCTAAGGGCTTGAGGATACCAGGTGTGATGCTGTTGTATTTCACGAGGTCAGCTTACTAAAGCGATATAAGATAATGATGCTTTAACACATGCTCGGTTGGGGAGGGCGCAGTGGGATTCTCTCGAACGTTTTCCAAGATAACTTCCCTACGGCGCGGCGCAGCCACGCCAAACTGTGCATAGCAGAACGTACCTGAATAACATGTATCTTGATATAAAATTAGAGATACCTTGAAAAGTTGCTGGCCTATGTCGCGTCAAAGACATGCCATGGCTGTCCACGAAGGCGATTGCCAGGGAATCGTTCAGTGTGATACGCCAACGCAGTGCAAGACAAGTCATGCAATTTTGCGATGGTTTGAAAGGCAACTAGATCATTCCAATTACGATTACGACCAATTCCATTGGTTTTGGGTCTGGTATGGAAGTCAGATCAAGGTCTAGACTAAGCTGCTTTATTATTGGAAAGTTGCTTTAAGAGGTAGACCTTGACGCTCGCTTTGAATTCCTGGACCCAAACGACGTCAAAATATTTCGTCTTTTTACTTATTGTAGGTCAGGGGATATGACAAACCTAAAACGTTCTAGATCCATCTTTTGCTTTGAGGAGCATTACACCCAGGGTAGCACTTCGTGCCGATGACAAACCAAAATATTAAAATAATCGCGCAGTTTTTTTCCATTTTTGCCCTCTTTAGGTCACCAATGTGAAGATGTAAAGAAGTGAAGAGCAGTGGCATTTTGCTTATAAGTGATATTTATATTAAAGGTGGTTGCGTGAGGCTTCGTGGAACTCGGACACCGGTCTGGGGTTTTATCTTGTTTGACCTTAATTGACCCGAAGGTTAGGGCGAAGGCTGTTCACAGTTCGACACAAGCGAGATTGCATAGAGCTTCATGGACTCGATGTATGTTGTGAATCTAACTCTTATTTTTTAGGATCTCAGGAGTCATAAGATCTCATCGCGCTTGTCCTGATTTCTCACCAATTCAGATGCTTTGCAACACACGCATGTTACTTCACTTCTCCAAAATCCCGAAGACCAAAATTCCGAGGGCTACTGAACCACTGCCCTGATCCAAGGTCATTTTTTAGGAACAGCTATGCACAGAAATTAAGCCGATTCAGTAAGTCGCCCCGGAGAAGACAGCTGAGGATTTGTGTTCAGTATCTTATCAGCCAATCTGCCGTTAAATTCAGCTTACCAGACGGCCTCCAGAGACTCGTCGGATTATCCCAAATAGAGCACGCGAGCTTTCGCTGACAGTGGTCTATAATAATGAAGCAAAGCACCACTGTTCAGTCAGCGGTCACGGCAAGGTGTCAAGCGTTGTCTCCATTTACCGCTGGCAACAAGCTGTGGTGTTCGGACAACGGCGTGGCGACATTTTGTCCACGATTGAGTATGTTATAAATCAGTGTCAGAAATATGTCCGGCATTTCGATGGAGAGATGACACCCGAGGGACGAGTGTTAGCATGGCAGGCATTGCGGTGATGTCGGTATCTCTTATTGACTGTTAAACAGCAAGATTAACCAAGGTTTGGATGTAAGCCATTTCCGACAAGTTTTTCCGCGCTGTTCTCTTCATTCTTACCTGGTTTTACTGCGGTGAATGTCAATGGAATTCCTCGCGGCTATGATCTCGGCACACCTCACTTTTGAGATATCACAGTCTATATAGGCTGACAGAGATGTCACGATGAACGACACATTCACCTAAACACACGGGGTTTGCCCTGCCATGTCTCTCAGAACTCGTTATTCAGTATTGCAAAGATTCAATTTTGTCAAAATAACGGTTTGGCATGTGTCAGCAAAAAAAAATATTAGAGGGTTTAATGCGATCCTAGCATTAAGTTAATTGAAGCTGGCATGAAGCTAATTGTTGAACATCTTGAAAAGCTTTCAACGAGTCGAATAACATGTTACGTTGCCTGACAAGGTTAAGACAAACAACACAAGTGACCGCAATGCACCGCGTCTGTTCCATCCCGTGGGGTAAGCGCACAATACATGCCAATGAAATGTGTGACGTGTAAGTAGGCTGTCACGTGGTGTTTGCCCAGACTCACCTGATCGAGGTAGTCCACGTCGGGCGCTTTCCACTGTCTCCGATTGATATAACGATCGGCGTCGCAGCGTCTGGGCGGCACGCAGTCTTCCTTTTCAGAGCACACCACCATCCTGGGGGGCGGAGGCGGCGGGGGAGGCGGCTCTACGCTGATGAGGGACCCGGGCGGCGCCACCCCTTCTCCCGGCGCCGACTCCAGCGGACAGCAGACGCCCACGAAGCTCTCGGTGGTCACGCATGCCTGCAATTCGAAACGAATTCCTCGCACTAACAACCGCGGCAGCAGCCAGCAAGACAACGTCCGGTCGGCTCCATGAAATTTAGCTATGCGCGCATGTTTAGCTCACTTTACTCTATCGGTGTTATTGGCGTTAGCGTGCGACCTACCCAGACAGAGAAAAATCGCATCGCAATTTTGCCTCCAATTTCGTAACACTGATAAGTCGACAGCCATCTCTTGCATCACCAATCGCCGCACCTAGGTAAACCCTGTTTGGACCAGATCGTCTTAATTAGAGTCAGCGGGTTTCAGGGACAGTGACTACACACTACCAATAGTTATTGCTAAAGATACTTTGATCAGCGTCAGAACGGTGAAGTACCGTGTCAGTAAGTACACAAACAACATTCCTGACCAGCACATAAAAGAGGAACTTTAAACAATGACATGGTATTCACTATTGGCCAGTTAAAACAAACAAAACATCAGCTTGGAGTGAGCCTACAAATGTATTTGTGGCTACGCACCGTACGAATAACGAGTATCTCACCTCGCTAGATGAACTTGAAACACTGCAGGCGCTGGCTTCCACGCAAGACGAACCAAGGCCACACTGGACAAGTGTGGCTTGGGCGCTCACAGCCCCGCCGCCAGCCGAGCTGGCCTGCGTCGGTTGTTGGGAGTGGCTCTCGCCCGCCTGCGGACCGGGCACGGCGCCGGCCAGCGCCGCACACAGCGCCAGGCATGCGATGCGTCCCATGCTGCCCGCCGTCCTCCCCGCTGGAGAATGCCGTCGGCCGCTGGCCCTCGCGTGCCTATAGGCGGGTGGTGCGAGCGGGTCGCTCTGGCGGTGGAGGCCGACGGGGTGAGGCGTGCGGGCGGCCAGCCCACTCCCTGAGACCGACACACCGTCATCCAGACCGAAAAGCGATTACGTTCCGCAATATTTGGTTTACTGCATTCTGCGACAGCCTCCTGCTACAGCGTGTGACAGGTGCAGCCGTCGGTTGGTCTGTTGGTCCCAGCCTGGCCCTCACGTTAGGCGGTGGGATAGCGGCCGTCGACAGTTTGTGAAAAGCGGCATTTATAACTCGCCTCCGGTACTCTGAAACGATTTCGAACAACGCAAAAGAGTTTGTACATTGTTTTACTGAAATCGCTTTTTCTTAAACACTGAATTAACTTTGGATTTTATGAAGAAGGATAGCAATGGTAACTTGAAGAGTTTAGGGATTATTAACTAACGTTTTGAGCGAAATTGGAATGAGGATGTTCACCTGGCCATTTTGGAAGGCCCTTTTTAAAGGGACCATACATTTTTATATACTATTCACTTCTGACGTGATCAAACGCAAACGATTTGATCAGTAATACCAGTTTTCTCGAAATCCCCCTGAATAGCTCAGGGTTTCCATTTGAAGATGTTGTTCCTGCGGGAGAAATCCACTTGGACTCCCTGCCCACCACTATGAAAGAAATAGTGTGTTCTCTGCTATGTTTACAACACAGTGAGATATCAAAATATGTGTGTACCAAATTCTACAAAAGCTTGAAAATCTCTCAGACAAAATTGTGCCCGCACATGAAGCCATCATCCCGTGAATCCAAAGAAACGTTATACTGTGGCTTTGATTTCTCCCTTATGGCGTTTACTACAGTGGTTCTTTTCAAAGCGCGCTCTGGGTTTGGGAAACGGAGTATCGCATGGTCTAAGGTGGCGCACTGGTTCAAACTTGCACGAACAAACTTTTTCGTAACTGGCTCTTGCCGCCCACCATACCAAGCAAAAACGTTCAGTTATACTGACGTCATTCAGTAACAACTAACTCAGTTTTATCCACAGGGCCAAAAAATACAACTAGTGGACAATATGGTTGGTTCTACCCATAAACTGGGGTCCCACACCTCGCAGCATCTTCTATATCTCGATGGTTTAATGGTCGAATGATTAGCACATCGGACCTCCATGAGTTAACCATTCGGTGTGGCGACCGGGTTCGAATTCAGGTTGCACCACGGATCCTGGACGTTAGTGTAGCCAAGACATTCGCTGGCGCTTCATAAAAGGTCGTCGCGATTGTCAAGACGTGTGTCGCGTTCCTTCGTCCTGCAATGGAACGCGACGCAAAATTAGAATACAAAATCAAAATTGTCCTGCACCATGATAGGCTCAGTTTCTTCCCGGAGCAATTTCAGTGAAGCAGAATAAGGCACATGCTACGAGCACAAAATGAGCATAAAATGTGCTAATGAGCTAATGAGCATAACTTGTTCCTGTCATGCGAGCCACGCGATTAGCAATGACCTTACTAAGTTGAGATGCGTCTAGGGTCTATCACCATGGGTGTACATACATGGCGGCCCGCTGTGGACATGCCAGCTTCCAGCTGTGTTCAGTCTGACCTACACATGGGCCAGCCGGAAAGGCGCGAAATACTTGGAGCGTGTAATCAGTTTCCTGTACTGATGCGTATCTAAAAGACTAACAAACGTGCGCCGTCGAAAAATTGGGAACAATGCCTGAACCTTCATTTTGCTATAATTTTCACCGTTCTCCGCTTGTCGATCAGAGAAATAGGTCAGTTTTCCTAACGTCCTGAAAAATGTGTTAGTGATGCCAACAAGTTTCTGATATTGCTCGGCAAATCCGCCACCGAATCTTCAAAATGACTGTTGCAAGTCCTTGAACCTCAGTGTCCAGAAGATGAGATTGCACGGAAGTGGTATAAGCGGTCCTACACGGGGAAGTGGAAGCTGGCATGGTAAGCTTAGCGGAGATGAAGCAGTCACTGCAGTCAGTGCCGACATAGCGTGCATGTGGTTTTGCAGCATGGGATAATGGTAAGTGCTGCGAAAACCGAAATATTATTGTGCGGCGACCGCCGACAGCTTAGTCGAACACGGAGCATCCGTCCAGATGTTCATGGATCGGGAGCAATAGCGTTCAAAAACTGTACGGAATCCCGGAATCGTGATGGATCCATTTCTGCATGCAGCTTTCATATGGATCAGGTGGTAAATAAATACTTCGAAATCTAAATAGACATGCTGAATGCTAAGCCCGCACTTCCTCCAGCCGTGTTCCCAGGATCATCGATGGCCTGGCTGTTTCATGCACGTTCTTGTAACCAAGTGTATGGTAATGCAAGTCGTTCAAACATAATATGATCTCACATGGAATGTGATTAATCTCTTAGGCTGGGCTGTCCGCACATGAGTTTATTCCGTACTTTGATATCTGCCTGTTGCACAACGTTCTGACCACTGCAAGCCTGTCGTGCTACGCTCTGCGCTGTTGTATAACCCTGGTCGCGTGATTCGAGACACAAGGCAGTCACTCCATCTGAGCCTGCCTCAGGTGAAAAACAATCGTGAAGAGAGACGATGTATGTATCGCGCGGCGCAGCAGCATAACGAAAAGTGATCACTCAAGGCCTGTCCAACACCTCAAGGCGCCCGTTCAAAACTAGGATTCGAAATGTAGTTCGACAAACTCGACTTTCTTCTTTACCACATGGCCGGGTAGCCAGCTGGATGCCCTTCGCTCGGGTGGGGCGTCAATTTGAACCGCTGAGATCTCGGGAACTAAGAAAGCTAGACACCAAATTTACAGAGTGTGTTGACCTATACATGAACTCACTTAGGTTAAAGTTTGAGTTTCCTAGGTCATGACCTCCGGGTCAAATAAGGTGAAATAAGGTCAACTTCCAGGCTGGTCTCCAAAGTGCCCCAAGAACCTAGATAACTGTTTCTTAGCAAAAGTTGTCATGCTCAGTTAAGGTCAGTGACCTTGTTTGACCTTTTAAAGGCCATGGTGACCAAAATCATACAAGGCCACTCTGAGTATTGCATTTGAATCTATGACAAATGTTACGCTAGGCAGTATGTTTTTAAAGACAAAGTGTTCACCTGGGTCAAATTTTAGGTCAAAACAGAATTCTGGCCTCTAAGAAGTTCATGGAAGATGTACAATGCGGTTCCTGCTGTCAATGAATTTAAAATGAGCACCAGAAAATATCGCATACTGCAAGCCCTAGAGTAAAAAACAGGTTGGTTTTGACCTTGGTCTAACCTTTGTACCTGATCGTAGGCTAACGAAATTTGCTCATTCAATATCGGTGCTGCCTAGGAAAGCATCTGAGAGATGTATGGCTTCGTCTAACAATCCGTTGTTGCATCAGATTGAACGATTCCCTAGAAATTGACTTCGCTGAAAACATGGCCTGACTTTGACCTGCCATAGGTCAGCGACCTTACCAGGTACATCTATTATTTATGCTAAATAATTTCCTATTCAATTGTCTACAGCTCTGCAAAATTTGGTGCGACTGCGCCGCGCCATTCGGAAGCCATTCTGGAAAAACCCTCGGGGGTCAATTTGTCCCCACCCGAGCGCGTATTAAGTGGGCGTGTTTTGTGTGCGGTGTGTGGGTGGTACGGGTCGGAGGGTGGGCTTAAATTATTAGTCGCATACGACCTGTCGTGGACTATGGAAGTTAACCAGAGTCTGAGAGTAGCCCGATTGTCGTGGATTGATCTGAACATGTACAATACATTACAATACAATGTAATACAATACGATACAATACAAAACAATACGTAAAGCACATACGATCAGGGATGCAGTCAGGGGTGAAAAAGCTTGTGACTTACCGGATATCATCGGTGACAAAAATTGACATTTTGCAAACCGACTGGTGACAAAATTGCAAAAAGGCAAACAAATCTTAATAGACCAGATCATGTCATAACTCACTATCCCAGCTAAACGGAACTCAAAGCTTAGTATTGGTCTGTGCTCGTTAACATTTGCAGCGTGAGCATGTGTAGAACACGTTTTGAAACGTTGAAGTCTCGCTGTACGCGCAAATTGCGCTATAATATGTTGCCAAACATAGGAGCCTTAATCACGATAGCTTTCAGCAGGTGTCAGAAACATGCTACAGACTATTCTATATCAGTGCTTACGTCACAGATCAGCAGCGACACAGTGCTTTTCCAATGCCCCTCAGATCTGTGCTCTTCACAGATTTTCAGCCAAAATTCACTTCACATACTAAGCAGTATAAGATACCAAATAACTCGGCTTGTTGCTAGTCGTAAGGATCGTAGCTGGCCGCAGCACCTTGCAACGGGCATGATCAGTTGGCTACGCAGCGTTCTAAAGCGTCGTGCCATTTGGGACAGATAGGCTCGAACGCTCGTCACGCGGTAATGCGTTTGATTCAGTGCAAGGCTGTGGGCTGCTGTTAGTTCTGTTCATGTCGTGAAAAGCTGACTGGCTAGAGCGTAGATCATTCTCGGCTTTATGATGTAATAACGTTAAAAAGTCCAGCCGGTTTGGGAGGATTCTTGTTCGTGGATACCTGGGCTCCAGGGGTAAACGGAGGGCATTGGAGCGGCCCATGTTAAAGATTCATCCCGGGCTTTCTGCTGCTGAGAGAAAAAGCGGCTTTGAGGTAAGAGATTGAGCATTACTGTTGCAGGCCTCTCACAGTTAGTGCCCGTTGCACCTCCGGCTTAGCATACTCATTGTTGAACAGGCGTGGGATAAAACGCTTTTTATTTTCATCATATTGCACATAAAGCTGAATGAAGGTGGTAGAGGTGTTAAAAAATGTCGTTTGCAACTGTTTATACCAATATTGCATGGATTTTGCTCTAGGCGATTGCGATCACGTTAGGAAGTGTGAGTCCTGCACCGGTAATGATTATACGTAGATAGGGAAGGTCACCTGCGCACTCAGCTGATTGTACGATAACGTCACA